TACAGGAAGACGCTTTATCATTAATATTAAAAATAATAAAAGTCCTATGACTTGACTATGAGCATTTTTATTCAATTTTTCAACTTAATATTGCACCATTTGACGTCTGTTTAGCAAACACAACTCAAATAACTTTATTGAATTTTCGGAGAAACGATAGTTTTTGTTAATACAAAATAATTTCGTCGTCAACCAAACCAAAGGCTATTATATAAGACACCCATTAATTTTCCAGTCAATATCACCGAATTGATGACTTTATGGTGGGAAACATGTAGTATTTACACGCGAGCTGCTGTTGCTGTCGCAATATTAGTCGTACATTCTCTTTACCATTGACTAAGGAAGTCTATATATGCAGACTGACTGATTTACTTCTACATTCTGTTCTTGTTGTTTTTATTGTTTGACTGAGACTGTTCATGAGATTCAATGAAACTGTGCAACATATCACATGCCCGCCCCTACCCTAAACGCTGCGTTTTCTATCCCAAACTTTTATTTTATGCGATATTCAATCATTACCATGATAAATAAATGAATGGAATTAATGATCAAGTACGAGACAACATTTTACAGCAGCTGTCACATTTTATTACTGACATTAACGACATTTCATTTTGTCCGATGATAAGCATGTTATAAGTACTCAGCATTGTTTTCAAATCAAATGAAGAAATGTTAACTTTGTATCTTTATTTTTATATAAGTTTTTTGTTGATGTTTTTTAAGTACAATACTCATTGGTATCTTTGCTCGTGCGTGCAATATGCTCAGAGTGCTTCTGAGACTGAATGATGAAAAAATAATCACAATTCCTTACTTCGTGTATAGGGGCCATCATAATATGTCTGGAGAGTCAATATCTAAAAAAAAACAAAAACGGCCCATATGACCGGGGCTCATTTTCATTTACGTTTTCATTTGAAAATACCACACCCCGAAATTAATTTCAATGTAAATGTGAGCTTTTCTGTGATATTTTTGAAATACTGCATATCATGTGGACCTAATTATAAATAATACTTGCATTGAACCGTTGCAAAAGTTGTTTATTACACATCAAAGGTATGCTTTGTTCGTCCTCTTCATATTTTTCCTGTATATCTGACCTTGCCTACAGGGACCTACAGGGCGAGGGCTGGGGGAAATACTTCAAAATGGTGAACAATGGTGTCACGTTACATTAAAGTGCCCAAATGCATGTAAATATTTTATTCCGAGTCTTCTCCGACCTGTGTGTGACTGACTTAACTAGAGACCATGCGTGTGACACTGCGTCAAGTTTAATTACAGTTCATCCCCCTACACAAAAGCAGCTTTCGTTGTCGAGTACGAACACCGGACATGTCACTAGTCTTGCCCTTATATATTTTGATTTTGAAGCAAAAAGTGGTGATAATTTACCTCCGTGCAATTTCCAAAAAGTATGAGCTTAGATGTAAATTTTGAGCTGAACATAGTTCAGTGTACAGCGATCAATGAGCTCTTAAACGTATAAAGGCAATATTAACAAGAGCTGTCACAGGAGACAGCGAAGTTCGACTAATTAAATACTGAAGACAAAACTATGAAAGAACAATCAATTATGGTATGAATATATTTCTTCTTATGACAAGAAGTTATAGTTGTTAACATAAATTCCAAGTTTAAGGGGGAATAATTCTGGAAATAGTCACACTAGAGTTATGGACCTTGTCACAAAATATGTGTGTAATGATAGGAAATATATATTTGAAGTTTAAAGATACCTTAAAAAGGAAAGAAGTTGGAATATTTCTAAAAAAAATAATGTAGGTTCACAGGGAGATAAATCTGAAAATATTGCTTCAAGAGTTATGAACCTTGTCACATAAGATATGGTTGATGATAAGGAATGTGTATTTAAAGTTTGAGGTAAATACATTTAAAACTAAAGAAGTTATAGTGAAAAATAACTTTTTTGCAAGTAAAAAATCTAAGTTAATGGGGAGATAATTCTTGCAATATTGGTGCTAGTTATAAACCTTGTCACATAAGATGTGATGAATGATAAGGAACAAATATTTGATGTATGAAGTTGATCTTTTGATTAAGAAATAAAAAAGTAACAGTAAAATATAATATTTTTAGGGAAAATTCTAAGTTCAAGGGGAGATAAATAAAAAAATATTGGTGGAGTTATGAACCTTTCTGCATAAGATGTGGTTGATGATAAGGAACATATATTCAAAATATGAGGTTGATACCTTAAGAACTGAAAAAGTTGTAGTAAAAATAATGTTTTTCAAAGAAAAGTTCAAGGGGAGATAACTCTGAAATATTGGTGCTAGAGTAATGAAACTTGTCACATAAGATGTGGTTGATGATAAGGAACATATTTTTGAAGTTGATACCTTAAGAAATGAAAGTTATAGTGAAAAATATTTTACTGCACCAAAACTTTAAACTTGGACGCTGGGGCGAGTAGGATAGCTCTCCATATAGACGAGTTAAAAAGGTGAGGTAGCTCTGACAAGGGCTATTGGTGCCAAGCAAAGGGCCTGGCTTTCACTGCATATTGACTCACGTACTCTAGAACCCCGTCTCTTCATTCTTATGGTAAACATTTGTGAACAAAATTGGATGCAGTCCGACCGGCAATGTGTTAGGGGGAAAAGATTTTAAAAAATGAGTATATTTCATTACTAGATTAAGCAATAATTCAAATTATATTTACAAATTATTTCATATGTTTAAATTTTCTTTACTTCCTTTAGAAGATTTAAGAAGGGATTATACCAGCCATTAGTTTATGATGCATTAACTAATAAAAACAGAGTTGTCATTGGGAGAGCGTGCATGTATATTGTTACCAGCCTTCGATAGTGACCTATACAAGTGGTAGTTTCAACCCATTCCCAAGAATGACTAGTCTGTCTAGGATTAACCTACCGGTATAACGCAGCCGAATGAGTTTACTCTGTCTGGACTAGGATTAACCTACCGGTATAACTCGGCCGAATGACTGGACTAGGATTAACCTACCGGTATAACTCAGCCGAATGACTGGACTAGGATTAACCTACCGGTATAACTCAGCCGAATGACTGGACTAGGATTAACCTACCGGTATAACTCAGCCCGAATGACTGGACTAGGATTAACCTACCGGTATAACTCAGCCGAATGACTGGACTAGGATTAACCTACCGGTATAACTCAGCCGAATGTCTGGACTAGGATTAACCTACCGGTATAACTCAGCCGAATGACTGGACTAGGATTAACCTACCGGTATAACTCAGCCGAATGACTGGACTAGGATTAACCTACCGGTATAACTCAGCCGAATGACTGGACTAGGATTAACCTACCGGTATAACTCAGCAGAATGACTTTACTCTGTCTGGACTAGGCCAACCTTAGTGGTGGCGACATATCATTTCATGGAGATCCTACAGTCAATAAGAGGAAGTCAGTGCCTAGCATCTTGGTAACATGGTGTGCGCCCAAAGTCAGATTTGACCAAACATGCAAATCGTTGGTTTGGGTGGGACCAGACTTCAAATGCATAAAAAGGGTCTTATATGCCATACCAAATGCAGGGATAAACTTTATCTGTGACGCCAACACATGGGTAAGAACAATAGCTTTCATTATTCTTTTAATAGTCGGGCACAAAACTAATGTATTTAAAACAAAAAGAAAACAAGAATGTTCATGAACATGGTTTATTGTTAGCATATGAAGATAATTCTATACCGAGGACAAAAAAATACCAACAATGAAAAGCTATTCAGCATGCTGTATACAGATACATATGAATAAAAATCTGTTGTAGTTCTAGTTATAGTCACCTTTCAAAATAAAATCTAACTTTAAGCCTACATTTATAGACAAAATGCATTCATCTGAAACGTGCCTTTACAAAAACATCAAAATATTGTGGTTTGATATTTTCAAAATAATTAACACAATCATCATTATAAATTTTCAGCATTACAAGTTTAAATTTCGAATGTTTTGATAATCATTTATATATTTTCTGTTTAACTTCACAATTTTGTTGTAAATAACAGCTATACATATAAAGGGAGAGTACCGGTAAGAAATAGCTGACTGTTACACAGCAATTGATTATTAATAAACAAATTAACAACACTAATAACTGCTGAATATAATCTTGAACAATTGCTAGCGATGGGAGATCAGAAATGACTTATTTTATGAAAATAGCTAACACAAATACAAAATTGAATGATCTGAAAAGTGATCGTTTTGTGTCCGGCCGTCTGTAAACTTTTACTTTAAACAACAACTCCTTATAAACCACTAAGCCAATTTCATTTAAACTTCACAGGAATGTTCCTTTGGTAGTCAACTTTAAAAATTATTCAAAGAATTTAATTCCAAGCAGAACTCTGGTTGTCATGGCAACCGAAAGAAAAAACTTAAGATATCTTCTTTTAGACAGCTGAAAAAGCGAGGGCTTAAATATTTGGCATGAAACATCATCTAGTCAGTGTCTACCAAGTTTGTTTAAATAAATGCCCTGGGGTTGTTAAGGACCACAATGGAAATAAGTCGGCTTTTGCCTTCTTTTTGTGTCATCCTTGGTATTGAATATATGGCATCAACACATGCACTTTCATGTTTACATGTATCTCTTGATGTTGACATTGAATTTGTAGTTGTTTTATGACATGTATTTTTTACCAGAATAAAACTATCTATCTATTAAATAAATGCCCTGGGGTCAAAATTGGCCCGCCCCGGGGGTCATTGATTTTCCTTATATGTATATAGTAAAAACTTAAAAATCTTCTTTTAAAAAAACCAAATAACTAGAGCTTAGATATTAAGCATGAAACATCCCCTAGTGGGTGTCTACCAAATTTGTTCAAATTCAATTTGAAGATGTTTCATGATAAATAATTAAGCATCTTCAAATGCGTGTCTACCAAGTTTGTTCAAATACAAGCCCCTGGTTTAGAATTGCTTTGCTAGATTTTGATAATTGCAAATATTTTTTCTAACAGGAAATAGCTAAGATTTTGCAGCACCCACGAGTTTACTCATTTCTACATGTACCTGTGCAGTCAGCCTCTGATAGTGTACTTATGGACATGAAGAGAGAATATTGCCAGGCTGACTTCAGACATGTGACAGACTTTCTCAAACAACAGTTAGTAACTTAAATTTCTCTTACTCTGTCTATATTTTGTTTTATTTTCTATTTTCTGTTGGTTATCCAAAAGAAGTAAGGGATTAAGCATGTTTAATTTAATAACATAACTGAGCTATTAAAAAAAAATCAACATACTGTATCAGTAATCTTACTTAATATTTACTATTTAATAACTTTATGACCTTTTAAGAGGGAGTGTTCATCTAGTGGTCAATGTATCAGCTTCTTAAATCATCGTTTAAAAGCTTGAGTCATAGTCAGGTCATGTATTACGTGATCAGTACTGCTATGTTCCAGGAAGTGGAAATAAAGTTGCGGTTTGCAATCATAACGGTATGCATCTATTTGTAATCCAGAGGTTGCTGATCCGATCCTCGGGCAATACTAGGTGAAATTTCTTCTTTACAATTGATCTATGACATACAGTCTGAAGGACATTTCTTTCTCACCGCTGATTTAAAAAACATGATTAATAAATAGTTGGTCAATTGCAGAGAAAGTGGCTATTATTGCAGAAACATCATTCACATCTAAAAATGTGAATCTGAACATTTGAATAAACATGCTTGAGCTGTGTCATTATGATAATGTATTTAATGCACAAGCACTTATATAAAAGGTATTGTTCCTTTCAGAGTCCCGGATGTAACCATAGCAACAGATTTGATATGTGGATTTCCGACAGAGACAGAGGATGATTTTGAGGAAACTATGCAGCTTGTTAGAGATTACAAATTCCCAAGTTTATTTATCAATCAGTTTTTCCCACGTCCTGGAACACCGGCAGCAAACATGCCTCGGATACCTCCACCAGACGTATGATTCTCAACATTTTCCTCAATATTTAGTTAAATATAAATGTCAATATTTTGTTAAACATTATATTTTCAAGCTTGTTGCTTGTTTGATCTACTGTTGGAACCACTTTTAAGTTTTATAACTGACCAGTAGGCCTACTGGTGTTTTATAAAATGTTTACTGTGTGACCCAATTTTGGCTCAAACCAGGGTTCTCTTGGTTGAGAGGCAGACACAATAACCACTAGGCCAATACTCCAGCTAAGTAGTTTGTACACAAAACACAGCATTTTTGATATATATTGTATATAAAATACCTTGTCATGAATCTATAAAAAAGTACATCTAATTTTGTTTTAAGTGAATAAAAGCACAGTGTAATGTAGCAGGACTGTCAAAGAGACTCACCTCCAAATAAGGAAACCAAAGTTTTAAAGAATCAAACTTAATAACAAAAATATTAAAAGTTTTGAAGAAGAAAAGTCACTATAAAACATCTTGCATGCATAATATGGCTTATAATACTATTTCTGTCACCCATATCTGTATCCAGATAGTAAAGGAGAAATGGCTATTTTTTGCATTTTTTAGGACACATTTTATATACCTTAATTGACTGTGCCCTCTTCTGGTTTAAATTTCTTCAATTGTTCAGTTGACAATGTTTGATGGATGTTGTTGTTGTTCTCAATAATGATTATCCTTATGATAATGCTGTTGCTCCTTTGTCCATGATGAAGATCTGATACAAATGATGATGATGATGAGGATGATAAAGCTTGACCTTTACCAAAAAAAACAAAAACAGTTTATTATTTTGCATATTATACAAAATTATTAATTTAATTTTTGTGTACTTATTTACTTTATGATTATTTCAGGTTAAGAAGAGAACTAAGAGAGTGTCAGAATTATTCCAGTCATATCATCCCTATACTCACAAGGTACATTCTTGTAATTATTGTCATATGATAGAAATTCAAAGTCTTATTGTTGACAAAAGAAAAGAAAACAATGAGAAAATACACATATTTTTTCTGTATTTTAGTAAATTTTATTTCATTTTGACAAAGTGAAGCTTTATCTGTTCTAACTACAAACTAGGGTGTTGGAATTGAAATCTGAAAATAAAGGTATAATGTTTTCATTCTGGCCCAGAGGTTCTGACCTCTAATGATAATTCTGAGCTCTGTCTTGAACCTTGGGATTTCCATTGGCCAGTATACAATCTGTACCAGTTTTGTAACCAATCATATACCATAATTTCTTTATAACCTTTGAGAAATTTCTGTATAACATTCAGTTGGTCATTTTATGTGTAGAATATTCTAGAAGAATATGTAATCTAACAGCTATTGAGGTCACTTCATGATTTTCTAGTAGTTTCAGTGTAGTAAGAACTTAGTGCCATTGCATGCTTTATTTCAGGCACAAGCTGGCATGTCCTTTAAAATAAATAACCTTAAATAAACAGGCATGGTAACTTCCTGATATGAGAATATATTTACTTCCACCATTCCTATATTTACAGGAGAAATCAATTATGATAGATAGTGGATTTAAGAGACCTGTTTACTCACTGGTTTCTCCCTGTAAAACTGATGTTAACCTGTAACATAAACAAAGTATTGAACAGTTTAATCATTTATTTCTTTGTATAGTTTGCAGGTAGCTTTGAGAATATTTCCATGTGGAATTTTGTATTTGCTCAATGTCAATTTTCAGCTTGGTGAAATACAAGAAGTGCTAGTCACGGAAATCTCACATGATAAACAGTATTACGTAGGCCATAACAAGTCTTATGATCAGGTAACATGATAAAAATATTTCATGTAGGCGGCAAGTGCTGAAAGTCTACAAAAATTACATGTAGGCCGTATGTGCTGAAAGTCTACAAATATTTCATGTAGGCCGTATGTGCTGAAAGTCTACAAATATTTCATGTGATATTGTGCTCATTTGTTTTCTTTGTCAAGTTGAACTGAATAAGCTATATATTTCAAAATGTTGAATATTATTTTTTAGGCTTATGATGAAGGATCAGGAAAAAGACTGCCCCACTCTTTTTAGCTCACCTGTCACAAAGTGACAGGGTGAGCTTTTGTGATCGCCTTTCGTCCGGCGTCCGTCCGTCCATTGCCGTCCGTCTGTCGTCCGTAAACTTTTACTTTAAATGACATCTCCTCATAAACCACGAAGCCAATTTCATCCAAACTTCACAGGAATATTCCTTTGGTGGTCACCTTTGAAAATTGTTCAAAGAATTTAATTCCATGCAGAACTCTGGTTGCCATGGCAACCAAAAGAAAAAACTTTAAATATCTTCTTCTAAAAAACCCAAAGAGCTAGAGCTTAGATATTTGGCATGAAACATCTTCTAGTGAGTGTCTACTAAGTTTGTTCAAATAAAAGCCCTTGGGTCAAAATTGGCCCCGCCCCAGGGGGTCATTGATTTTCCCTACATGCATATAGTAAAAACTTAAAGATCTTCTTCGAAAAATCCGAATAGCTAGAGTTCAGATATTAAGCATGAAACATGTGCTAGTAAGTGTCTACAAAGATTGTTCAAATGAAAGCCCTGGTGTCCAAACTGGCCCTGCCCCATGTGTGTCATTGTTTTTAACTATATGTGTAAAGAAAAAACTTGACCAGCTAGACCTTAGATGTTTAGCATGAAACATCTTCTAATGGGTGTCTACCAAGTTTGTTCAAATAAAAGCCATGGGGTTTAAACTGGCCCAGCTACGGGGGCCTATATATAGGTGAGCGACTTCTGGGCCATCATGGCCCTCTTGTTTTATCAAGTGAATGTTACCGATATGTCTTAATGGAAATTTTCTGGGTGACATGATTTTTTTATTACGTTTGAGACACAGCATATAGCATTAAAAACATTTTTCTTTTTTTTTTTTCAAAATGTTAAGTTATTTTGACTTTATTTTGACTTAAATTACTAAAACAAGCACCATTTAAACTTGGATGAACATAATGTTATGCCATATATTTTGAAAGCCTACAAATATTTCATTTGATCTACATTCAACAATATAATTTTGTATGATGTAGGAAGAAGCTTATTTGACAAATGAATACATTGTACCATATTTTACTATCCAAATAAAAATTTCAATGACACAGTGTTGAACATGTTAAATAGTTGCAAGAAGTAAGCTAATTTCAACGAGAATTATTGGTGATGTTGATACATATAGTAATAATGTTTTTCTTAACAGCTGTTTTAGTTACAAACTGAGAAAAGATATACTAGTAGAACACTGAGAGGATATAGAACACTATGTTGGATTTTGAGTCACACCAAACTTGTTTTAAGGTCATAATGGTGACTTGCCAGTGTTATTGTTAAAGGAAGACCTCAAGTACCTCACTGTGTGTTATTTCAAGCATTAGGGGGCCTCTGAGTAGAGCCAAGAAACTTTTATAAGCTATCTAGATATATGCGGCATCATTCCTCACATTAAAGACTTGAATACCTGTGATGTCATCATGAGATTCAAACTCTCAGTAGTAAGGAACAAGTGATTAAATTTAAGACCATAACCACTTGTCCAGGAAGGCCCCAGAACTAATAAAATGTATACAACTATACTTAGGCTTGTAAAAATAAATTCAGGGTAGTGATTATTAAGGGGTTTGGCTGACTTGATAGACTGGAGATTATACAAATTTCATTGTTGATAATACATAACTATTGTTATATAACAAACAGGTGCTGGTACCCCAAGATGAGAACTTGATGGGAAAGATGGTTAGTGTAGAGATAACTGAGACCGGGAAACATTTCATGAAGTGTCGACTAGTAAAAGATGGAGAGGTCAGGAGACCTGTATCAGTACCCCCACCATTACCTAAAGGTCAAGTTTCAGGATTTAAACAGGTATTTAATTGATTTGGTATTTTAGAAATATTGCACCTTTTTGAAAGAAAATGTTCGCTGGTTTCACTTTCATCCAAAAAATTCAAACTTGAACAGGTTTTTTGTAGAATCAGTAGCTGAAATGAGAGTATTATTATCATAAATTTTTGTCATGATGTCATTTTTACTGTTATGAATGAAGTTGTAAATTGATAGAGAAAGTGGTAAATGAATATTCTTTTTTTTTTCTGAAATATGATAAATATGCAATATGCAAGAAAAAGAATCAAACACTGGTTGATGTTACAGATCAGAATAACTAGATCTCGAGTAACTGTTTAGCCCAAACTCTATACAGTCTTGTGACCACCTTAAACAGTTACCAACCAGCTCCATATTTCGGTCTGTACTAGTTGCCGGTGTATTCAGTAAGATTCTTATAATATTAATAAACATATTATTAATTCATAAACTACACGCTATACATTATAGCCAAATGTTAACAAAGATATTATAACAGTGAAGTGTTAAATAAAATGATCTGAACTGGGTTTTTTTTGTTCTACCGACTTAGCTCAGTATTAAGAGCATCAGATTTGTAATCCAGGGGTTGCTGGTTCTATCCTCAAGTGAAGGCAAAGTGGACTAACTGAAGAGATATGACCAAAAAAATTGTGTTTAAATCAGCCTAAAAAGCAAACAAATATACAAACAGATGATGCGAGGTTAAGATTCAACCATTCTGATTTAAATAGAGCAGTCCATTATCAGTATGTGGGATTTTAATAAAAAAAAGCAACCAACTGAATAGAACTTGGTCAGGTAATGTTCATGTCCAGGATGACCTGGCCCTTTACTGGTATAATTATAGCATAAACTGCCACTCTTTATAAGGGTTATCTCCCCTTTTCCAGATTTTAATGAATAACTTTATTTTGTATTTCAGACAGATGTTGTTATCACAAGTAAAGGAATCTGGTTCTTTGCTGTTTCTATGGTAGTTATGTTAATAGCAGTGGTTTGGCGAGTATATGGACTAGTTCAACAGTTTATAACGTGAATACTATAATGTACTTGTTGATGACTAAAAACAATACTGTGTAGAAGTGATACCTTACTCTTTCATGTTGAAGGAGACGGTAATTGGCATAGGAAGCTGAAACTTTTACACATCTTAGTATCAGGAAATGATATGCAGTCATTTATAGCTGGAGTATTCAGTAAATAAAAAGTGCTATTTTATTTGCCCAAACATCCTGCACTATATTTTCATTGAAAATGTGAGTTGCAGCAAGAACTATCGAAGCATAGTCTGCATTCAAACTTCACAAGTGTATTTCCAATTATCAAATCTACAGACAGATTTGAGTCCCATAACTAACATACATGTAGTCTGAATTTTGGATGTTAGAAAGTTTAAACATTTTGGACAGATTAAAAGTTTAGTGTGTGCAGATTCTTATTGCTCTACCACTAAAGTTGTGTTCATTTGAAACTTCATACACATCTTTAGGGTTATGAGACTAGAGAATTTAGGCTTCTGACAAAAGCTGTACCTCTTTTATGGATATTTATATTTATAATGAAATTAGAAAAAAAAATCTACACAGATTATGATTCGAGCATTTTAAATTCAATTCATGTTTTCTTTATTATACTCCACGAAAAATTTCAGGGGAGCATATAGTTGTCAGGTTGTCAGTCCGTACGTACGTACGTCCCGAATTCGTGTCGGCCCATAACTTTGTTATTTGAAGTCGGATTTTATAATTATTTCACAGAAATGATCACCATATTGAGACGAAGTGTCACGCGCAACATTTGGGTCGCTACCTTGAAGGTCAAGGTCACAGCATGACCTTGCAGCAAAATTGTATCCAGCCCATAACTGCATTATTTGAAGTCGGATTTTACAACTATTTCACAGAAATGATCACCATATTGAGACGATGTGTCGCGCGCAACATTTGGGTTGTTTTTTCACTTGGAACTTTGTCTGTGACATAACTCTGACACTACAAGAGCAGTGGCGGATTCAGGCCCGGGCTTCAGGGCTGAATCCCCCCCAGCTTGACCCAAAGATACGTTTACCAGCTGGGCTGGAATATATTTTTGTCAGTTTAAAACTTTATTGGCTGTTACAAGTGTACTACCTTATCAAAACATTAATTGCTGTCAGTCAGTTGTTAATCTCCTGTCTGGGGGCTTGGCAGAGATCTTTATCTATCAATATGCTTGAATGACTTCAATGTTTAACCCTTTCCCCCATGAGCATATTGTGAAAAATGGCCATTTTCACTGAAAAGCCTCCTGTTACAAATTCAAACTGCTATGAAACTATGAAAAATGCTTCAATACTAATCAAACTTGGCACAAATGTTGACTGTACCATTGCCTTTGTAACGACATGCTCAGTCTTAAATTTTCTGTTACCATGGCAACGAGGGGACATCTCAAAATTGCCAAAAATCACTTTTTTGCCTCGATTTTTTCCATCAAAATTTATTTCAAAGTGCTGCAACTTCTCAAGGGATTGAGATAGAGTCAAAGGCTTTTCAGCGTTGGTTACACGTTACCTTATGATCGACCTGGGGTCATTTTAAGCCTCTCACAAGTCCAAAATTTTCTTGGCGATGAGGGGGACTCAGCCCACCTTCAAACCCCCCAAACAGAAGGGGGCACATCCCCCTTCTGGCAACCCCCTGATGTAATATTTGGATGGGGGACGGCGCCGAAAAAATGGTCACTTTTTTTAACAATATTTATCAAACAAAAGACAGTGTTCGGGGCCTAAATAGGGCATTTTTTCACTGTTTGAGGCCTCAAAAAAGGGGGGGGGGGCAAAAAGCCGTCGAAACACGCATATATAAGGGAAAAGGTTAAACTGCATAATCGATTGGTTTATTACTTTCCAAAGGTCTAATGAAATCAATAGACACTGATAGTGGCAAATAGATGTGTTACAGTGTGCACCATATTTTATTATCTTTGTTTTTCCAAGCCCTATTATTAAGAAATTGAAAATTATTATTTGTAAATTAAAAAGATGGCGAGTTTTATAATGATAATATTAAAAGAATCACGTTTTGATCACTAGTTTTATTAAGATTTTTATTTAAATGATATAATTGGTCATTTGCTATTAATAATTTTTTATGGCAGCTATATTTTTAAATAGAATTTAAATTGTACTGACCTCTTTAGTATCTAAAACGGATTCATTGATGGGAAAAAATTCTTATTGAATACTAGTATTTAATTATTTTTTTTGGTTCATTACGAAGGCAGTATTTTAATATCACTTTACTTTGGAAAATCGTCTATTATTCAAATGAGTAAATTGATCAAGTGTTTGAATTTATTTTTATCAACAATTGTGCATACATTGGTAAGTGTGCTGTTATTTTGTAAATGCTCACTACTTAACACTAGGGGAATTCTTTTTATAAGACCCTGCAAACACTAACCTATACAAAATACATTAGTTTTGTAAAACCGTCCAAAAGGTACAATAACAGCACTTACATATATATTTCTAATTTCCATATCATCTAAATATTTACAAAAACATTAGTATACTCATGTATAAGGAAAACACATTGCCACTAATAAGATGAGCTATAAAACACATCAATTACAATTTTTGTCACATGAACAAGTTGCTGGACCAATCTTCAATTTTTCGCCTGTTGCATTATGTTTGTCATATTCGTCCACCCATATGTCAGCCCCCCCAGGAAACCATGTTCTGTATCCGCCCCTGAAGAGGCATACCTTCCTGTGTCCAAAACCTATTTGGGGAGCATCACCCGGTTCAACCGGCTCTTGTTTTCACTGTGATCATGTGACTAAGTGATTACTATGATTAAAAATAAAAATTGGGACAGTTAAAGTTGTCTTTTATTACTTACCTTATTTAAAGCAATGTGTTCAATTATGACATCTAACTATAATGACGCAAATGACTGAAGGTAGGAGAATCATTTTAGCAAGTCAATAAACCATTGGGGGCAAATTAATGACTCCATGGCCATGATTTCATTAAAATTAGTAGAGCTGTTTGTAACACATAGTGGTGAGAGGCAAGAAATTTGTAGTCACCGACCTGAACCACTAGACGACCACGGCTGCCAGTACCAGATACAGACAAAATTGTTTTGGAAAATATTCATGATCATCTTAACAACTTATCAGGTGAAAAGTATACGGGAAACAATCGGCATTTTGTTAATCCCAAGCCAATATCCCCGGGTATATACAAATACAAGACATTTATATAGCGCAAAAATGTATTAAATATTCGATTGCGCTGTACAGGTATATGATAAATGGACGTTTTCTATCCCAAATGTCCTAAGATTTTAATCATAGATTCACGGTAAGCAAACTGAAAGGGGAAATCTCGACTTTTCTGTTCCAGAAAGATCTCCCCCGTCGCAATTAAAATTTCCACTGAGCTACGCTCTTTGTGGTTTACACATAGTGTTGTAGCAGAGTGTCACTTTTAACTGTTTAAACGAGTACGGTCGATTTTGGCAAAGAAACTCGACAAAGTGCCGATATTTTTTAACGTATAACAAGACGAGATATTTTATTTATATTTCAGTTATTTTCTTTCTGATTATTGGTTTTTTTTAATTTTCACCGTTGTACAGCGTTCACAGAGGTAGTGTTTCATCATAACTTAAACGAGTTTTCCAAACTAAACAATTTTGTGAAGCTAAAATGCCCTCGTATAAAAACAGTCTTGTGAGTGAATCTCTAAAGTTACATGTATCTGGGAAGAATGATCGACCAACTATGAGTGAAGCAATCACACAACGTACTTTGATCTGTTCTTTAACATTTGCTGAATCTCACACTGTTACTTTTGCTATGTAATTTGTTGTAATGTATATTATATCTTTTAATTTGGAAAATAAAGGCAAATTGCCAACAAAATTGCTCTTAAAGTGGACCGTGTTTGAAATGTACTTAAATGCACAGTCTATTATTGTTTAAGGAAAATTATACACTTTTACTGTAAAGTTCTACCAATCTGTAATGAAATAAGGTCTACATAGTTTTAATTTTTTCCAATTAACTCGGTCACATATAAAAACGGAAAGAGTTTACTGCCAGTAATACTCCTGTTACGTATATATAACTGTTTCTTATTTATCATGTTTTTATCCTTTGAATAATATTAAAATGTTTCATTTTACGATCCCTGCTCCCGACATCGATCGTTGTTTCTTCATCAGCTTACGTGCATGTTCTACTTAAGTTTAATTTTGCAAAAAATAGCATTCTTTTACCTGCTACACTCGGTACACTTGTTTACAGTGTTCCATGTACACCTCGTACACAACCGTGCTAGACTCTGTACACAAGGCAAGACTGTTTTTAATATTTAGTTTGCAGAAAAAAGCAAATACTTATCTAAAACCAGAAATATTCTGCTTCAAAAAATTGTTTAGTTTGGAAAAATCGATTAAGTTATGATGAAACATTACCTCGGGTGAATTCGACGTACACCTTTTCTGTACGAAATCTGCTGTGGTCATAGTATTATTTCTACAATAGCTTTAGCTCTTAAACTTGGTTTGCTATTACTAATCATGGTCATGCGCTTGTTTTGGTTGAGTCTGTTATGTATTGTTTAGGGGGTGAGTTGTCAATAATTTTAATGAACACGAAATTAGTTCACACCTACATGTGGTGGTTTAAGCCAATGAAAACACATCAATATTATTACAATCAGGCAGAGAAAAGGAGTAAATCGATATTCTTTATGTAGCAAACAAACTTTGAATTGCAAGTATTTTTTATCATATCTTTTCGGCAGGATAAACTGTCCGAGGAGGGCCAGGCATTTTCGTATCGTAAAATGGCTGCCATTCACAGTATCAAGCACCACAGCGACTTAGCGCGGGAATTATTAATATAGCTAACCGCGGCGCGTCGCATAGGATGGAAAATACCTTTTTCATATTTTATTGTAATAAATATTTACAAACTGTGTCTTTCGGGTTTTTTTTTATCAATATATAACCAATAATGATGTTAATTTGAATAAATAATCTTATCTCGAATCTGCGACTATATATGATTTACAATGAAATTCTACCTTTCGTGTATAAAAAAGGTTTTTAATTTCCTGTAATTTTATTTTGTGATTATGCTGCAAAGCAGTCATTTGACTGTGAATTTTCTTTCCATATTTTGATTTCCTTGAAATCATTTTTCTCATCTGGAGGCATGCAACTTTAATATGATGATACATTAATTACATTCCATGAAAATGTTTAAAGATATAAAATATCTCATGACATGTTTGTTCATTTTACATTACACCTTTAAAATTTAATGCAGCAAACACAAAAAGTCTTCACAAAAAGTAGTATGCAATCGTTCCTATATTACATACGAATGTATGTAATATTTTTCTTGTTACTTTCGTTTTGATGT